AGCAAAAACAAAAACCCACCCTTGTGTTGTGGAAAGCCAAGGAGGGCTTCGGGTTACTTGGGCCCCAAACATAAGCAAAGTTGATAGAGACGGCTGATGCCCCTGTTCACATCAGTCACGTTCACCACACTCATGGTCAGCACTGACGACATAGCAACCCTGAGCCACTGCTGCTGGGGACACGGAGTTGGTCTCCGTGGGCCCCCGGCTGCAGCGTTTTCCCCAGTTGCGCAACACATAGCCTCATTTTATGTGTGTTTCGGTGGGGAGACACCTTCTGCAATGCTTACTGTTCCATGAACATCCTGGCCGACTGCACGGAAGTGGTGCCTGTCCAAAGCTCAGCTAACACACGCGGTCTTTTTATTTATTTATCTATTTATTTTTGGTCAGGCACATCACAGCCTTCTTGCACATAGGAACTCAAGGTGGCACTTCAGCATTATGCGTGGAGCCATTTTATACAGCAAAATCACAAAACTGAAAAAACGTGGCCCCAAATCCACAGAAAAGGACAGCCCCACAGGAGAGCAGGGAACGGGAGGGCTGGGAGCGCCCCCCTCCACCTCAGCTGGGAATGTGCACGTTGACCAACTCGGGGTTTTCGCCCTGGGCACAAGGCTCTGAAGGACTGCCGAGGCATCACAGGTACTGATTCTAGGGTAGCAAGTAGACTTCAGCAAGCAGGAGACACTGCAAGTTCAGAATCGCATAATGAGGACAGGCTGTAGAACACTCAAGCTAGAAATTAATCCAAAGATGTCACCACCTTTGTAAGTGTTAATTACCAGGTCCAGATTGCCAGACTAAATTGTTAACATGTAGATTTGCACTATTTGAAAGACAGAAAATGTAAGTATGTAGGATGGTTGAAAGCAAGAAGATGGAAAATAACCAGGAAAATACAGGCAAAAGAAAGATATAATTAGATTACTACCAGACAGTAGGAAGCTCCAGGACGAAGACTTAGGGATAAAGAAGGCATCACCAGAAAGACTCAATTCACCAGGAATACACTTATATTTGACTTAATCAATAATGTTAGGGTATATAAAGCTAACACTCATGTAGTTACAGGTATAAATTGAGAAATCTATGACCATGTTGAAATCATTTAGCATTTGTTTCTCAACTACTGAGAAAAAGGACAAAAAGGGTTAGGCGTTACATTGTAGCGGATTAAGCCGCTGCTTGGGATGCCCGCACCCCATATCCGAGTGCCCAGCTTGAGTGCACTTCCCACCCAGCTCCTTGCTAACGTGCCAGGGCAGCAGTGGGTGATAGCCCAAGTGCTTTAGTTCCTGCCACCCACGTGGGAAACTCGGATGAAGTTCTGGCTCCTGGCTTAAGCCTGGCCCAGACTTGGCTGTTGTGGACATTTGGGAATGAACCAGCAAATGGAAGATTCTCTGTGAGTCACTCCACCTTTCAAACACATAAGTCAATAAAAATTTTTAAAAGACAAAACATTAGAAAGATTTAACCTATTTGAACAACCGATCTATGTTTACGGAGTGCTTCACACAACATTTAGAGAGCACCTTCTTTGGTATGAGGATGGAGACAGCTGAGTAGGAGTTATTTAGAAGGCAGTGTTGGTGGAGGAATCTTACTTATTCACTCTGCTGGAGCGTAGGGCAAGGTGTATTAGAGAGGCCCATGGAGCCATTGTTTCCCTCAAGGTCTCCTGGCCAAGCAGAAGGCACTGTCCTGGTTGAGCAGTCACATGGCCGAATGCACCATACCACTGGGGTGAGGCAGGTGTGAGAAGGAGCGCTCAACCATGAGAACAGGGCCTGGGGCTCAGCGGGCTCCAATAGGGCAGCAGAAGGCGGTACTGGGATATAATAGTGAGGCCTTCCCTGTAGTTAGGTTACAACCTGGGAATTTGCACGGCTCCTCCCGCTCTTGGCCATCTATAGGTCTTCCGACTGCAAAATGCTCCTTAGTTTACAGCAAAAAGCAAGTCCAGCCACTTGGGACAGCAGTGCAAAAAGGTAGGTTCTGGGTAGTATAGACTTTTTTTTTTTAAAGATTTATTTATTTATTTGAAAATCAAAGTTACAAAAAGAAGGAGAGGCAGAGAGGGAGAGAGAGAGAGAGAGAGAGAGAGAGAGAGAGGTCTTCCATCCACTGGTTCACTCTCCCAAGTGGCGTCAACAGCTGGAGCTGGAATGATCTGAAGCCAGAAGCCAGGAGCCAGGAGTTTCCACTGGGTCTCCCACACAGGTGCAGGGGCCCAAGCAGAGAGCTGGATCGGAAGTGGAACAGCCAGGACTCAAACCAGTGCCCATATGGGATGCTGGCACTGCAGGCAGAGGCTTAACCTGCTATGCCACAGGGTCAGCCTCTAGTATAGACATTTTAACAATATAATGCTTCCATCTATGAATATGGGATATCTTTCCATTTCTTTGCTTCTTCTTAAATTTATTTCATGAGAACCTGTGTGCAAATGTTTGTAAGGGGTTTATTCATAATTGCAAAAAAACCTGGAAGCAACCCAAATGTCCATCAGTTGATGAATGGATTAACAACCTGTTGCATATCCATACAATGGCTGCAACTCAGCAGTAAAAGGAACAAACAGCACACAACAGCATGTATTATGTAAAATGTATTGTGTAAAAATATGGCAAATGCTATTTTTTATACTGCCACCTAACTGTTTTGGGTGTATTCATTGAGATGAAAATACCATACTACTTTGATACCCACAATACCCATTTGAAAATATATGAAAGGCAAATCTCTAACCACTGGAAAATTAAGATTTTTCTTTTTCTTTGAACTCCCCAATTGGCCACAATGACCAGAGCTGGGCCAATCTGAAGCCAGGAGCCAGGAACTTCTTCTGGGTCTCCCACGCAGGTACAGGGGCCCAAGGACTTGGGTCATCTTCTACTGCTTTCATAGGCCCATAGCAGTGCCATAGCAACTGCCCCACAGATATTTTTAATCAAATGAAGTACAGCCATATACCCCAAAGTCTTTTATACCCTTCTCATTCTGCTATGCAATAAAAGCATATGCATAACTTATAATTTACTTTTTCATTTTCTAAGATCATAATTCTCTAAGAATAATTTTTTCTTATAGACTTCCCTCTTAACCTGTGTATTATTTTAATGATACAATAATAATCATATAATTAAATATAACAATGTGTTGATAATATTCTATTGATAAAATTCTTCAGGGAATGTATCACTGATTATATGTGGGTACATGAGAACACATGGAGCTTTGAGCATATCACTTGGTTCTTTGAACTTCTAGTAAATTGCCAAAACTCACATGATACTCTCTTATCAAAATTATTTTAATGATAAAACTTAGATATTAACAAACTTGAGTAAGTTTGCCTTCAATTTTTATGAAGGCATAAAATGAGAAACCTGGCACTTTCTTTTTTTTAATTTTATTAGACAGGCAGGGTTAGACAGTGAGAGAGAGAGAGAAAGGTCTTCCTTCCATTGGTTCACCCCCCAAGTGGCCGCTATGGCTGGCGCGCTGCGCCAATCCGAAGCCAGGAGCCAGGTGCTTCCTCCTGTCTCCCATGCGGGTGCAGGGGCCCAAGCACTTGGGCCATCCTCCACTGCCTTCCTGGGCCACGAAACCTGGCACTTGTAAAAGAACTTGTTTTGGGGCCGGTGCTGTGGTGTAGCGGGTTAGGCCACCGCCTGCAGTGCCGGCAACCCATATGTGTGCTGGTTCAAGTCCCAACTGCTCCACTTCTGATCCAGCTCTCTGTTATGGCCTGGGAAAGCAATTGAACATGGCCCAAGTTCTTGGGCCCCTGCACCTGCGTGGGAGACCTGGAAGAAGCTCCTGCCTCCTGGCTTCAGATCAGTGCAACTTTGACTTCTGCGGCCAACTGGGGAGAGAACCAGCAGATGGAAGACCTCTCTCTCTCTCTCTGCCTCTCCTTCTCTCTCTGTGCAACTCTGACTTTCAAATAAATAAATTAATTTAAAAAATAACTTGTTTCCTAATAGTTGGGATACCAATCACAAATTACAAGTGATTTTTGTTAATTTCTGGAAAGTTTATTAGTAAGGTTTTATCAACATTTACCAAATGATTAATAATATTATTAATTATACATTTAATTAGTCCTTTTGAGGCACGATTGCTTACTTTCATTTGCTCTGTAAGTGTTGAAAATTTTGAGTATTATTAATTTTGATAGATCTTTGATGAGATTTTTAAAATTTATTTATTTGAAAAGCAGAGTTACAGAGAGGCAGAGGCAGAGAGAGAGAGAGAGAGGAAGAGAGAGAGAGAAAGAGAGAGAAAGGTCTTCCATCTGATGGTTCAATCCCCAATTGGCTGCAATGGCCAGAGCTGTGCCAATCCGAAGCCAGGAGCCAGGAGCTTCTTCTAGGTCTCCCACACTGGTGCAGGGGCCCAAGGACCTGGGCCATCTTCTATTGCTTTCCCAGGCCATAGCAGAGAGCTGGATCGGAAGTGGAGCAGCCGGGTCTTGAACTGGCGCCCATATGGGATGTGGGCACTGCAGGTGGCAGCTTTACCTGTAGTACCAGCCCAGATAATATGGTTTTATAAAATACTTTATTTACATGCTTTAAGTATCTATATTTTTATGTTGCCATCATATCTAAAAAATTGGCAAGGTCAGTCCTTGGTCAACCAAATCAGATCCTCTTTATCTCACAAGAAACCAACTTCATTTTTCAATTTGAAGGAATGTTGTAATATATATCTCTGTGGAAGACATCGCATTTCTGAATTCTAATTCCAGACTGGAGCACCAACGAGGAGCTTACTCCTTGGCATGTCTTACCCAAACTTTCTCTGCTTTGCTCCCGCGGCAGCATTCTTGGGAATAGGATTCACAAATTGTTCCTTGGTTTGGAAATCAGAATTGGAAAGTTCATATGAGACTGTCGAAGACTTAATGCAGTGTGTGGGATGGTAGAAAACTCATGGCATTAGACTTCACCAGCTGCGTTAGATTGAGCGAGGATAAGACAGGGATGCGTCTTAGTCCTCACAGTGACCAGGACGCTGCCGGGTAGGCTGCACTGTGCCCATTTTCTAGATGTAGATCAAGAGGCGCTGTAACTGTGAGTGACGAAGCCAGGACCAGAATCAAGACTGCTAGTTTGAGGTCAAAATTCTTATTGTGGAAGAGTCTAGACTCTGTGATAACAATGGGTACAACAATGGCGGAAATGGGGAGAAGACAGGATTAGACTTCTGAAAAAAAGAAAGAGGGGGAGGAGGTTGGGGAATAAATTGCCACAAATGTTCACTCTTAATTAGCCACATGTGAAGACCCCAGGAGCTCTGGAAAGACTACGACAACACACTCCCGAGGGTCTGAAGATGCACCAATGCGATGCATACTTTGTCATAAAGCTACTCATCTTTCCCTCTCTAATCCTCTCTCTCTCCCTCTATCTCCGTGTGTGTATGTGTGTGTGTTTGAAATGCATTTATTCCAAGAGTTAACACAGTAAGGCATTATTTAGGTCTTCACACCTAAACATAAAAAAATACTTAAAGATCATAAAAAGGTACAAGGAAACTGGGGGCTTGTGCACGCTGGGGAAGAGTGTTTATCTCGTTGTCTGACGGTATCATAACATCCTAGGCTTGGATAGCGGTGGAAGGAGTAAGAGGAATCTCTTTGTTAACCCAGTGTCATCTGGGATCATTTATGCTCTGGACACCACAACCCACGGGGTGTGATTAGGCCCTCCAGAAAATCTCGTCCACCTGTTCTGTCATCCGTGGAGCACAGAAAAGGTTCTCTCTAGGAGTGACCGTGAGCAAACCAGCCCTGCAACTGTGCAACTGCCCCAGATAAAGCCCTGTGATCGTTCAGGTGTGGACCGTTAGGAGCAAGACAATGGGCAGGTGTCCGCGTGGGGCACCTGGGAGAAGTCTGGGCGCTGCATATCCCAGGCCTGCCCCATCTCACACCCGACCTCAGAGAATCCTTTTCCCATTCTGGACCTTGGTGCTCAGATCCATAGACTAAGGAAAGCCGGTGGATCCTCGGGAAGGCTCCTCCGTAGACTAAGGGAAGCCGGTGGATCCTCGGGAAGACTCCTCTGCAGACATTCTGTGTGCCTGTCGGGATCCTAACTCCTGCCCCCTCCTCTCTCACAGGCACCTCCCTCTCCACAGCGCCACCTTCCGCCGGAGGACGGTAGCGCTCCTGCTGCTGCTCGCTCTCCCTGTGGAGCAGCCTTCCGCAGCGCCGCCCCAGAAGACACAAAGTGCGTTCAGAGAAGCTGCGGCCACTCTTCCTTAAGCAGCATCCTTGGGGACTGCGGGTCGGACGCGAGAGGAGGCCACCGCCACTGACCGCTAGGACAGACCCGCCCAGGGCCCTCCGGATTCTTCCCGAACATGTTTCCCCAAAGTGATCGCCCCGAGTTTCTCTGATAGTTGTCTTTCAAGTGAATATTTCAGATGTGAGAGTCACTACGCAGGGCCCGGGAGGAAGCTGCTGTGTCCCTGGGAAGAGATGGAGTGAGGCCAGCTGCTGATCTGAGGACCCACAGTGAGGGGGGGGGCTGGAGAAAGAGGCAGGAAAACGGCACTGACCAGGGTCTCTGGCTGCTAGGGTGACGGCCCGGGAGGAAGGAATCCCTGGATTCCAACAACAGACGAGAACTGTTGATGCTGAATCCCAGGGGACTGCCTACAGTTTGTGGAAAATGGAATCAAAAATTTAAAAATAAAAATACATAAGCTTTACTTCTCAACACAAACTCCATTCAGTTCAAGACACTTGAACTCACTTGATGAGACCAGACATGTAGTCCATCCCTAATTAACTGAGGGTCCTGGGCATGTCACCGTATTGACGCAGTCTTTTTTTACATGAATAAGTTTAAAAAAAAAAAAAAAAAGATGCCCTTTAAAGATTAGGAAACAAAGAATTCTGGAACCAAATCAGGACTGTCAAGTGAACACCTAGTGACTGCCTATCCAAACTCCCACCAAATTGCTCCCGTTTGATGAGAGGACGAGCAGGAACGCTACGGTAGTGGAGAGGGACACTCTGGTGAAGACTTCCTGGGGGTTTCTCTGCTGATGCTCTGGCCGACCTTCTCAAAACACTGTCATCATCGGCAGATGTGGCCACTCCTTGGCCAGACGGAAAGTCAGCAAGCAAAATATCCCGAGAGTCCCAGCAAACTGTTGCCAGGAGTTTTTCTCCTCACCCGTCTGCTTTTTTTTTTTTTTTTTTTTTTTTTTTTTTTTTTTTTTTTTGACAGGCAGAGTGGACAGTGAGAGAGACAGAGGACAGAGAAAAAGGTCTTCCTTTGCCATTGGTTCACCCTCCAATGGCCGCTGCGGCCGGCGCGCTGCAGCCGGTGCATCGCGCTGATCCGATGGCAGGAGCCAGGTGCTTCTCCTGGTCTCCCACGGGGTGCAGGGCCCAAGCACTTGGGCCATCCTCCACTGCACTCCCTGGCCACAGCAGAGAGCTGGCCTGGAAGAGGGGCAACCAGGACAGAATCCGGCGCCCCGACTGGGACTAGAACCCGGTGTGCCGGCGCCGCAAGGTGGAGGATTAGCCTAGTGAGCCGCGGCGCCGGCCTACCCGTCTGCTTTTGCCTCGACTGGACCATTGCTTTTGGTTGTGCTTCATTCGAGAACCCTGCTGGGAAAGCCATGTTCCCTCTCCTGCTACCAGTCTTTAAGAAAAATGCTTCGGGATCATGATCTCACTTATTTAATGTTTGCATTGAAAGCTCTGCTCTTGCCTGCAGCTGATCTGGGCACGAGCGTGTTGGTCCCCGTTAGCGTCTCAGAATGGTGTTAACTGAACCGCGTGAGGTATCCACGGCGTGGAGCGCTGTTTCTGCTGCTAAGCATCTGTCCTCCTCAGTTAGGTCAGGAAGGTTAACCTGTCCCTGCAGACGATGTGATGACCTGTTGCAGCCCCATCCATCGCTCCTGACAATGAGTTATCTATCCTCTTACAAACTGCTGAGTCCCTTGTTCTCATAAACCTCTTCTAAAGCATCAATGATTGTTCTCATTTTTCCACGCAAGCTTTTCCATAAATGTGATGTTTATTCTTGCAGCAATCTGATTTGTAATAGCCCCCCCACCCCCCCACCCCCCGCTAGTTCCCGTCCAGACATGCTGTGGCAAGTTAGTGCACGGGAGGTTAGCAGAATCATCTCCTTGCACTATGAGGCCCCCGTTCGTCACTGGAGGTCGGCTTCCAGAGACCACCCGCACTCCATGGCGCTTGGCCTCCTCCGTCTGCTCAGCTGCCGAGAGAGTGTCAGATCCTGCCCCTCGTTTGGATCTCTCTGACCTCTTCTCCACCAGCCAGAAGAAAATTCTGCTTTGAAAGGACTCAGTTGATGGGGCCTGGCCCCCTTGGGTAACCTCTGACCTTAAAGTCCACTGACTTGGGACTTTAGTGACACCTGCAAAGTCCATTCACGGCAGTGCCTGGGTTATTATTTGATTCCATAACCAGAGGTTATTGGGAGTGAGACTTTGAATTCTGTCTACCACAAGCACCAAAATCAGGAAGCTATGCGTAGCCCCAGAAAGGGCCGTCTGCCATGCTCTGGGACAGGGTATGATAAACATCATCCCATGGAACTGTGCAGGGAGCTTATAGGGAAGGGATTGCCATTCTCATTTTACGGATGGGAGACTCAAGACTTAGACAAAGGAGGACGCCTCTCCCAGGTGGGTCAGCTTGTTAGTGCTGGAGCCAAGCTCCCAACCAGGTTCTCCTGTCAGTCCTCCTTCCACTCCACCTCTTCTTCCCTTTCCAGGGGTGATTTGCAAGTCACACAGTTGAACTTGGCTTGGTCTTGAGCTCACACGGTGCCAAATCCCGAACTCCCGATCCCCACTTCTGCAGCATCGCACGACTCCATACTGGTTTTCCCGTCCAACTAAGATCCTAGAGGCAGAGGATTTAGTACTCAGTTTCAAGAATAGAGCGGGAGATCCTCACTAGAGGGGGAGATCCTTGAGGCCAGGGTCTTGGTCCCCAGCTAATCCCCTGTCCTGGAGCCCAGGAATTTCCCTGCAGATCTGCCTGGGCACAGATCGCTCATTCAGATCCATCTGAGGAGGCCAAGAGTTGTGAGAGGCAGACCTAGTCCCTAACAAGCAGAGAAAGCAGATGGAGGACAAGGCCGAGAGAATTCCACTATGCGCCTTCGGCACAGGAGAAGCCTAAACCTCTCAATAAGGGTGATCTTGGACTTTTTTTTTTTTTTCAGAGAAGCCAGGAGTATGTCCCAAAGAAAGGCTCACCTGTGACACTAAGGCTGCGGGCTCCTGCAAAACAGATTTGGACTGCCGGGAGTTCCTGAAGTGCTGCCATTTTGCCTGTGAGAAGAAGTGCATAGATCCATACCAAGGTAGGGGCATCCAGGTTAAGGGTAGAGGTGCCTCCTGAAGTTCCCCTCTCTTGCTATGGCCAGAGCTGGCTGAGTGATCGCCCCAGATGGCAGGACAAAGAGACCAGGGTTCATACTTCTCTCATTCTTTAGTCCCCCATCATCAAGGATGAACCACGAGTCTAGGCACAGTGCACTTCAGCTAGATGATATTGCTGCTAGTCTTTGGCCCAACATTCAGCCATTCACAAATAGCTGGTACTGTCTGTATGTTCGCTAGGTGTCAACAGACTGTTGTTGGCACTGTGGCAAAATCAGACCTCAGTCCACTTAGATGTTGGGGTCATTTGGGGCTTGTTGGGCTTTTCTGACTTCAAGGTTTTCTAGTAACTCAAAATGTTGGGTGCTAATATGTATGGGGACCTGTGGATTTCATAGAGCTTTGCTCATTCATTCAACCAACACGTATTGTCAATATCCTGTGGCCAAAGCCCACTGGGAACACATCTACAGTTGAACAAACTGGATTAAGTCCTCATCATTGCAATGAGGGAGAATGTTCACCATAGAGAAGCAACCATGACACATCTCAGCAGGAAATGGTTATGAAGAAATCCTTGCAGACTTTGAGGGCGAGTCTAAAGAAGTTCAGGTCTGGGTAGCTGCAGCCCATATCAGATTGATCAGTTTGAACCCCAACTCTGCTCCAGAATTCAGCTTCCTGCCATTGCGTACTCTGGGAGGCACAGGTGATGGCTTGCATTGTTAGGTCCTCGCCACCCGCATAAGAAACCGGATGGAATTCTATGCTCTAGACTTTGGCCTGGCTCTGCCCTGGCCACAGCAGGCGTTTGGGGAATGAACAGTGGATGGGAGAGTTCTCTCTCTCTCTCTCTCTCTGTGTGTGTGTGTGTTTCTTTCCCTCTCTCTCTCTTTCTATGACCTTCAAACAAATAAATAAAAATTAAAAACCAAGAGAAGAGTTTTCTTAGACTAGGTGCCCTGATAAAGCAAGTGCGATGCTGTGGCCGGATGTCTCAGTGAAATTTATCTGTAGAGAGGGGATAATAAAGTGAGCATGAAGCTGTCATTGGTAGAGAAGTATAAGTCACTCATGCTAACTGGGAGAGAGAAGTGTTTGGTAGTCGCTGTGTTTCACATTCGTCTTGTTTTCACCTCACCTTGTGTGGATGTCCTGTGAGATTTTTTTATGTCCACCAGAGGAACAACGTGGCTCAGCTGTGAAGGTCACATCAGCTTTCAGAAGTCAGGATCTGCTCTTTTTCTCCCTTCCATGAACCAGGCACTTCTGTAGGCACTCTGGACATAGATGCTGAACAAGTCTTACCCTGCCAAGTTTGAGCAGTGGAGAGGAAAGATCAGCTCCAAGGTGATCTCATGTGCTCTTCGTAGCAGCCTTTGCAAGGAAGAAATGCTGCTTACTGGCACTGTGCAGCATAGACTATTAGTAGTAGGGCCGGGACTAGAACCTATGCCTTTTTTGGGCTGTGGATCTGCTTTAAATGTTAATTTATTTATTTGAAATGCAGAAAGAGAATGAGACAAGGACAAAAAGAGATCTTCCATCCACTGATTCCCTCCCCAAATGCCCACAACGGCCAGGGTTGGGCCAAGCTGAAGCCAGGAGCCTGGAACTCAATCCAGATATCCCACGTGGATGGCAGGGACCCAAGTTCTCGAGTCATCACTGCTGCTTCCCAGCATGCACATTGACAGGAAGCTGGAATCAAAAACAAAGGCGAGACTCGAACCCAGGCTCGGCAATGAGGGATGCAGGTGTCCCAGGCAGCGTCTGGATCGCTGCCCTCAACTTCCGCCCCTGTGGCTCTTTTTCATGACTTGGATGAGAGCAGCAAGGGCTGGGCGCCTGACCCCTCCTTTTATCTCTGCGCTGTGTTCTTCCCTCTTTGCTTCCTGCCTCCAGAGCCCTGCACACTACCCTCCGACCCAGGAAACTGTAAGGATTACAAACAGCGCTGGTATTTTGACTTTGAACATGAAGAATGCAAATCCTTCACATTTGGGGGCTGCCGTGGGAATGCCAACAACTTCCTCAGCCATAATGACTGCCAGAAGGCCTGCGAGTTTACTGGTGAGACCTATATCCCTGGAAATCTGAGGGGCTGGTTTTACTAGACATAATATCTAAGTGTGGTTATATGTTCAGGCCTTGACATTGAACAAGCCATAGCTCTGTTGTTCACTGTCTGGGAGGTCTTGGGCAAGTTGTATGCCCTGTTGAGTTTTGGTTTTCTTGTCTATAAAATGGGGATAATAATGGCATTTACCTGATGGAGGTTTTGTGCCAAAAATGAGAGAGAGAGAGAGAGAGCGAAGTGTTAAAATAACTTGGCAAGTGGAACCTGAGAGTCAGATCTACCTCCTTGGAGGAAAGTGTTTCCTTATCACAGCCACCTATTGGACATCACCCTGAGGACTTGCCCAAGAAGAAAGCACAGACAGGAGAGGTCAGGAACCCTGTGGAGTTAGTGTAGACACTGGAGGCAGAGAGCTGCATAGGGTGAAAGTGAGGCTGTAGATTAATTGCTCTGTATAATGACCATCATCAGTAACATTAGAAGACAGTGTCTTAAAGAGCTTAGGAGGAAAGTGGGCTGGATTAAAATCCTTGCTTTTCCCCTTACTGCAAGTTTCTGTACCTAATACTGGAGCAATAGCAACCACCTCATTGAGTCGTTGGTGCAATTATATGGGCTCAAAGACAAAGACTCGCCAGCACAGTGGCTGCCTGCGGTGTGGGTTCACTAAGAGCTAACGATTGAGCCGGGAGCCCTTGATCTTCCAACTGCAGCACTGTGTGTTTTACAAGTCAGCACTGGGATGTGGACCTCAGAGTCTACAAGGCAGGTTGGGAAATGTGCCGTCAGCACTACTGTACAGGAAACAGTTAGAGAGGTGAAGTTAGCTGCCCACGGGGTAGAGCTGGGATTTCAATTCCACAAGCCCAGTGACCCTGCAAGGCCAAAGCAATCTTGTGGCCTGACTTGATGGAACTAGGATCACAGGCTTCCCTTTCGGAGAGGCCTTAAGGAATCGCTGTGTAGTGGACAAGATCTTAGTGCTGCCTCCCAGGAGCCAGCAGGAAGAACAGGTCAAGAAAACGGGCTTCAGCTGGTTAGTAGGGAAGGTAGGCTGGTGCTCAGAGGTAACCTAGCACACTTTGGAGGGTCAAACCTGGTGTAGTCTGGAGGAGGAAAAGCACAGAACAGTTTCTGGCCTCATAGAATTTACAATCAGACGAGGACAACAGGACACACGCACAGACTCCTGGAGACTTCATTCCAACGCCACCTGTGCCCTAAGGACCAACAAGGTTGTATCTGAATCTGACTCCCACACTCCAGCTGGACCTCACAAACACCGCACGCTTAACTCACCTAAGACCTACCATCGCTCCCCACCACAGACATTTTCCAGCCCAAGTTCTCCCCAGTTTTGTTGAAAACACCTTCTAAGTTCTATTTTATGCCTCTCTTTCTCTCTCAGTTAACATCCACTAACTTAGGAAATTATTTTGGGTCTAACTTGAAAATCGATCCAGAATCTGGCAACCTCTTATCAGCTCCATAGCCGCCGCCCTGGTCAGAAGAGCTGGCTTCTTAGCAGTATGGCTGCCTCACCCTCCGTAAAGGTCCGCCCGCTCCTACCCCTGCCTCCTCTGTGCTATTTTCAACATGGCAGCCACAGTGGTTCTTCCAACTTTGACATGAGTCCAATCATATCACATTGCAATGGCTGCACGTTTCACTCAGGGTAAAATCAAGGCCCCTAAAAATGGCTGCGGTGATTTGTGTACATTCCACATATTACCTTTGTTTTATAGAGAGAAAACTGATGTTGCTCATTAAACAGCAGAACTGAGGCTTTACACTGGGGCTTCCGACACGATGTCAAGTATTTTTTCTATTGTATTCCATGATATGAAGAGATGTTTCATTCCTCCAAAGCTCGAGTTAGTTCAGGGAATGGTGAACCAAGTTTCAGAAAGAGATTCTAGCTTTGAAGAAAAGCAAACACTGTTGTGAAGGGTGGTGAGGTGGGGTGGTGTTGGCAGGAGCTCACATCTGCTCTTGTTTTAGTCAAGAGAGGACAGTGTCCACTCTTCCCTTACAATTTCCGTATGGAGTGTCCATCATCGTGTAAGAGTGACATTGATTGCCCCAAGAAAGAAAAATGTTGTGAATCCACTTGTGGCTTTGTTTGCACCAAGGAATGGTCAGGTGAGAACTGGGGATATACCTCCCACAGCCCAATGGGTATATGCCAAGGGTACCATGTTTCCTATTGAATGGGGGGAGGGGACTTGAACCTCATATGGCCCTTGGATTGATCGATTTTTGAGATCTGTTGGGAATGCTTCCTCTTTTAACGCCCACCTTGTGCTCATTCTGACCTCAGGACACTAGTGGGCAATTCCTTAAAGTCAACCCTATGTGGTATCACCCTCAGCTCTTCCCCAACAGAATGGATTGTTCTGAGTCTCATTCTTCAGTGACCTACAAGGCGATGACATCCACTGACATTCTCTCCCCCGCCCCGCCCCTCTGTCTCTGTCTCTGTCTCTGTCTCACACACACATACAAATACACATACCTCATAACCAATTCATGTGTTCCCAACAAGCCCTCGTCTCTGCACAGAACCATCCTACAAGATGGACCGATGAAAAGCTTAGTAGCAAAAGATTTTGATGTAGAAGCTAACTCTGCCACTTTTAAGGCTGGAAGGATACATTCCCCAGTATGGTCCCAGGAATTGTCAGTGTTTTAAAGTTCAGCACAGTACGGTGGCAAAAATGGTAAAAGTATGGTGGCCTTTTTCGACTTCAACTTTTCCACTGGACAATTCACTCCTGATAGATGACCCTCAATTCCTATAATTTATAGGACAAGGAGGTTCTGGGCACTCTCTCATACTCCTCCCACCTCTGAACCACATAGTTCAGATACTTTCATTCTGTTGGGCCGGCAGGGATCCTCCAGACTGGAGAAGTCAGAGATGGCAGTACTTTTTTGATGCTCCTCAAATTATTATCCCCAGAGAGTTGATACTCTGCTTCCTCCAGGCCACTGTTGCTATGGGAGGAAAGGTAAGAGGCTTAGTCAGAGTAAAGCCATTTGGGTTCCCCACGTTTGTCTCAAACTGTGACAAGCATTTCAAGATCCAGCGTTGTATTTTACTTCATAAAGCCAAACTAGGCTTCTGCCCGCACAAGCCCGCAATGTGTGGCAAGATTGGTAAACCCATGTGCCTGCATGATGATGACTGCCCACTGGAACAGAAGTGCTGCTCGCGGTGTGGACTGCAGTGCCTGGAACCCAAGAAATGAAGTGAGTGGAGAAACTGGTCATCGGAATAGTTTGTCATGAGTAGCGTAATCCGAATCGAAAGTTTTTATTTGTCTTGTATCTAACTACATGACCCAGTTACATTTTTAAGTACAATGATATTAGTAGTTATTGTGGCTTTGGATATAATCATCTGATCTGAAAATGATAGTAAATTTCACTTTTCTTTTTTGAAACTTCGTGACTTTGTTCTCTTGTCTTATATTATGCAGAATCTGCAAAATACCACTGAAAATAAAGGTAGTGGTATCTATCTCTCTATAGTTCCTTATTCTATTTTATTTTTCACAACAGCAAAGATATTTAATCAACCTAAATATCCATCAACTGATGAATGGATAAAGAAAATGTGGTATTTACGTGTTACTCAGCCATCAGGAAGAATGGAATCCTGACATTTGCAACAAAATGAATTGAACTGCAGATCATTATGCTAACTGAGATCACCTAGACACAAAGAAGACAAATTCCACATCTCATCTCTCATATGTGGACATTAATATGCAAAGTATAAAAAATGTGTGGATGCCATGCTATTTGGTATATAGGTATTTATAAATGTCTTCACTGAATTATATAGTAATACACCCTCTTTCCTCATGATATGCTCCTAGTCATGATTCTCATGTGATATTACCATCCCTGCTTTTAAGAAAAATAGTATGGGGGGCCGGCACTGTGATGCAGCGGGTTAACATCCTAGCCTGAAGCACCGGCATCCCATATGGGTGCCAGTTCGAGACCTGGCTGCTCCACTTCCGATCCAGCTCTCTGCTATGGCCTGGGAAAGCAATAGAAGATGGCCCAGGTCCTTGGGCCCCTGCACCAGTGTGGGAGACCTAGAAGAAGCTCCTGGCTCCTGGCTTCGGATTGGCACAGCTCTGGCCATTGCAGCCAATTGGGGATTGAACCATCAGATGGAAGACCTTTCTCTCTCTCTCTCTCTCTCTCTCTCTCTCTCTTTCTCTCTCTCTCTCTATCTCTGCCTCTCCTCTCTCTCTGTGTAACTCTGACTTTCAAATAAATAAATAAATCTTTTTTAAAGAAAAATAATATGTCTGTATATGTATATAATATGAACATATGAAATCTGATTTGAACATTAAATAAGATAATAGACTTTCATTGCATTTCCCAAAATATTTATTTATTTATTTGAAGGAGAGAGAGAGAATGAATTTCCCATCAACTAGTTTATTCCCCAAATTCCCACAACATTCATGGATTCAGTCTGGGTCTCCCACCTGCCACCCAGGGAAGGGAAGAGGGACCCAAGTACTTGAGCCATCGCCTACTGCATATCAGAGTGTGCCTTAGCAGGAAGCAAGAATGGAGAGCAAAGCCAGAACTCAAACCCAGGCCCTCCAACAGGGGATGTGGGTGTCCCAAGCAGTGGTCTGACTACTGAGTCAAACTCTCACCCCTAGTTCCTTATTTTATAGTCAAAGGCAACTACTGCATAAAAAGATATTTGTAATTGGGTTTGGGATAAATGGGTTTTATTGTACTTGGGTTGTTAGGTTATCCATTTGCAGGTGCCACCGGAAATGATTGCCAAATTTTTTTTTTGACAGGCAGAGTTAGACAGTAAGAGAGAGAGACAGAGAGAAAGCTCTTCCTTCTGTTGGTTCACCATCCAAATAGCCGCTATGGCCGGCGCGCTGCACCTATCTGAAGCCAGGAGCCAAGTGCTTCTGGTCTCCCATGCGGGTGCAGGGCCCAAGCACTTGGGCCATCCTCCACTGCACTCCCGGGCCACAGGAGAGAGCTGGACTGGAAGAGGAGCAACCAGGACAGAATCTGGCACCCCAACCTGGACTAGAACCCGGAGTGCTGGCACCACAGGCGGAGGATTAGCTTAGTGAGAAGCAGCGCCGGCCCATGATTGCCAATTTTTTTTTTTTTTTTGACAGACAGAGTGGACAGTGAGAGAGAGAGACAGAGAGAAAGGTCTTCCTTTGCCCTTGGTTCACCCTCCAATGGCCGCCGCAGCTGGCGTGCTGCGGCTGGCGCACCGCGCTGATCCGATGGCAGGAGCCAGGAACTAGGTGCTTCCTCCTGGTCTCCCATGGGGTGCAGGGCCCAAGCACCTGGGCCATCCTTCACTGCACTCCCTGGCCACAGCAGAGAGCTGGCCTGGAAGAGGGGCAACCGGGGCAGAATCCGGCGCCCCAACCGGGACTAGAACCCGGTGTGCTGGCGCCGCTAGGCGGAGGATTAGCCTAGTGAGCCGCGGCGCCGGCCGATTGCCAAATTTTATCAAATACCTTTTAAGCATCTAGTCATAGAGTGATTTTACTCTTCTCATTTGTTGGCACAACAACTTAACATGAGCATGTTATTCAATTGTCCTATGTCAAACCATCTTGCAACTTGACAATGATTTAAATCACATTGAGTGTATGTTTTATTTTGCTATGTGGGTCATGGTACTTTCAAAACAACTAGCATGGGAAACCTAGCTTCTTTTTCTATGAGCTGAAATACTTTATGATATATCTAGTCTCTGTACATGGAAAGTTATGCAAAATTCTGCTTCAAAAGCATCTAGGTCAGCATCTGTTTCCGTGGTGGCATAGTCTAGTGACCTACAGACACTTCATCTCACAGCCTGTGAAGGCTCTCTACCTCCTCTTCTGTGAATTTTCATATTTTTATCAAACTGATGTATTTCCTCTATTTTAAAAATGAGTAAATAAATTGTTCTCTATGTAATTTTTTTCATATCTCTAATTTTGGTTAATATTTTCAGTTGCACATGCATGTTTCTACCTGCCCATCTCTGCACCTGCCATTCGCTCCATCTATATATACACCCAAGTGTTCTCTCCATTCACCCAGGAATCCGATCCCCACTCACCCAACCTTCCACTGACACATCTCTCAACTTATCTATTTGCCATCACCCATGCGTCCATCCTTTTTTCTCCTCCTCCTACCTATCCAATTCCCTATTTTATATCCAGTGTTTTAATCCATCATCCTGTTATTTACCCCCTCTGTCCTTTATGCCCATCAACAAACTTAGGCATTTCTATACCCACCGCCTCTCCATTCACCTACCAATCCATTAATCTGCCTCCTTTCAAACAGCCTGCACCAAGAGACTCACCTGTCCATCACTGACCTTATACTCAACTTAATCCACACATCACACTTTCCTCCTCTACCACTTCCTCCTCACCCAACCACCCCACCGCCCATCGCCCTATCAGCCACCCATCTACCACACATCTGCCTGCCTAGTGCTGTCTGCCTGCCCATCCAGCAGAATTTACTCTTTATTCTGGGCCTATTCATGCCCTAAGCTCCAGGTTAAACACCTATCTGGGGAAACAAACATGCAATTCAGTAACCCAGTTACAGGCACAGAGAACAACATAGAAAACCAGTGACAGGAGGTCAGCCCATGTCACCGGTATTAGTCTAATGAAAAAGCAGGAGCGGCCAGGTAGAGGCCAGTCTACCTCAGTTCTCCTTGGAGTTCCCAGAACAGAAGTGAAATTAAAGCAAAGGTAGGGGCCAGCGCTGTGGCATAGCAGGTAAAACTGCCACCTGCAGTGCCGGCATCCCATATGGGCACCAGTTCGAGTCCTGGCCACTCCACTTCCGATCCAGCATTCTGCTATGGCCTGGGAAAGCAGTAGAAGATGGCTCAAGTCCTTGGGCCCCTGCACCCGTGTAGGAGACCAGTAAGAAGCTCCTGGCTCCTGGCTTTGGATCGGCACAGCTCTGGCCGTTGCGGCCAGTTGGGAAGTGAACCAGCAGATGGAAGATCTCTCTCTCTCTCTCTCTCTCTCTCTCTCTCTCTCTCTGCCTCTCCTTTTCTCTGTGTGTAACTCTGACTTTCAAATAAATAAATAAATCTTTAAAAAATAATAACTATATTCCTAAAGTTGTACTTGTGAAATTTGCATTCTTAAAAAATAAATTTAAAAATAATTTTAAAAAAAGCAAAGGTAGGGTACCATAACCCTCAGTGAGAGAAGGAGAGAGGAGAGGTGAGGATCAGATAGGTCCTTACCCAGTCTTCTCCAAGAAATTAGGGTGACGAGGGTCCAAAACCACAATGTATGCCAGGCCTTCAGAAACCTACTTCATTTTACTTACTTGGAACGTGAGACCCCTGGGTGGGCCTGGAAATTAGGCAACACATAATGGGATAGAGCAACCAGAAAGCGTTTTAATTTACTTTAAAGATAATTTGGAGACAAAATTCAGCCTTAATGGAAGGCCTGTGAGTCATTTGGAAATTTGCTGGCTCTGTGACTCTTCAGACCCTGTCGCCACTGAAGACGTCCCTTCTACCCCTTTTGGACTCATGATTCTTCTCTAGGTCCAACTCCACAATAAAATATTACGTCCATACCAGTCTCAGCAGATCCCCTAGTGAGCTGTGGCAAGAACGTCCATGCTCAGCCCCCTTGAACCCTATCTCTGACACTCACTTTCTGGGTGACCCTGGGCAGCATCTTAACTTCTCTGGACTTTATGATTTCTATCTATAAAATGAACAAATTGGGGCTGATGGTCCTTAGAGCCCTTCCGGACATTCCAGATGTCTGATCTCTCCTGGACTGAGTTTTGGAGAACACGGGAAGTAGACTAAGAGAGCACTGCCCAGGACATCTTGGTTGCTCTTTAGAAATTCGACTTCCTAGGGCCTTAGTGGGAGCTCCTTTCAATGAGTCTGTGAAGTCAGTGGGCTGGGATTCTCAAGGGGGTCCTGTGTGTGATCCTAAGTGTTTGACCATGCGGTCATTCATTAATAAAAAGGCTGTCATGTAATGAATGAACATTTGGATAACAGAACTCCACACAATAGGGCAACACCAGAAAACATTTACTCTTTGTATTTATTTATTTATTTATCTGAGAGGCAGAGTTACAGACAGAGATAGGAAGAGACAGAGAGAGAGGTCTTCCATCCTCTGGTTCACTCCCCAATTGGCCGCAATGGCCAGAGCTGGACTGATCCAAAGCCAGGAGCCAGGAGCTTCTTCGTGGTCTCCCATGTGATTGGAGGGGCCCAAGGACTTGGGCCAACTTCTGCTGCTTTCCCAGGCCATAAGCAGAGAGCTGGATTGGAACAGGAGCAGCCGGGACAGGAACTGGCGCCCATATGGGATGCCAGTGCTGCAGGTGGAGGCTTAGCCCACAGTGCCACAGCGCCGGCCCCAACATTGACTCTGAAGAGCATCTCTCCCAGTGCCAGGACTGATGGAGCGGCTGGTGGTGAGGAAGCTACCCGTGGTCTCCAGGGCGCTACTTCCCGTGGCCTCTCCAGCAGTCCTGCTGGAACCCAGCGGTGTTACTGTGGACGAATACAGCCGTGGTACTGAGCTCTATTCAATCGGAGCCCCTCAGCAGGTGCCTTCCTTTCCGAGTTTCCAAGGCCCCGAGGAGTCAGCATCAGCTGGTGGACGCCCCCTGCGAGCTGTTACATTCTCTCCTGTTCTCAAAGTCACATGACCTTGGCAAAGACTCTCCAGAGTCTTGCTATCAGCCCGATTCTTCCTCCGCGTTCCTCTGTGGCAACATCTTTGCTGCTTGGCCTTAGTTGAAGAATATAACTGAACCCAAGGGAAGATCAGAGGAAGAAAGATGGGAGGAAACTGTGGGAGAGGAGGGAAGAAACTCAGAGACCACGGGAGGCCCACAGGGAGAAGGACAAGGTCAGACACAGCAGGGGGAGGCACGGGGGAGAGAGAGACAGAACCACATTGTCAGACACACAACCGGTGTGCTAGCTGCTGCGCATGGAAACTTGACAGCTCTCCAAGTTGTCAACGCAAAGACCTGAGATGGTGCCTTCTCCTCCTCAAGTAGCCTGGCAAGTGGGAGGCAAGTTTGGCACACACACCGCCCGCCCCCCCCCCCCCCGGTGGACCAGAGAGCCGGGCCCATGCAGACCAAGGGGTTAAAGATCAGGAGCCGTCCGCTTGGACGTCCTTGCCCCAGAGCTGTGGGCTGTGAACGTCCATTCATCCCGTTTGTGACCTCGGGAACTTGGCGTTCCAGGGGAGAAGGGGGTGGCTGGCTTGTCTCCAGGTCTCATATCCAAAGTATTGGCTGCTGAAGAGATAGACCCGGGCCAAGGCGAGCAGGCGACTCCAGGTTCTGGAACCAGCAGACAGGACAGCCCCTCTTCAGGATGAACACTCCAGGACTGCTGGGCACCCTGGTGCTCTTCTTCCTCTTGGTGACTGTCCAGGGACCCCGTCTGAGCGACTGGTTCTTTCCCAGTAAGTACTGGGGCCCCCCCTTACCCTGGACAGCGGGAAGCTTGCTGGGAGGAAGGAACAAGAGCAATTCCTCAGATCTCGGTTGTGTGCTGCCATAGTCGCCCGAGCCCTGGGCTGGGAGAAGCGGGAGGCAGTGGGTGAGTCCTCTGTGGGAGATCCTTTCTGGGAACGCAGGAATCCAGAGCGAGGAATTCTCTGATCTCATCGCCTTTGAAGTGGGGAATCTCAGGTGCTGCGGTTGGAGGAGAGTCACAGGATCTAAAATTTTTTTTAAAGATTTATTTATTTATTTGAAAGTCAGCGTTACACAGAGAGAGAAAGAGAGGCAGAGAGAGAGAGAGAGAGAGAGGTCTTCCATCCGCTGGTTCACTCCCCAACTGGCCCGTAACTGCCAGAGCTACGCTGATCCGAAGCCAGGAGCCAGGAGCTTCTTCTGGGTCTCCCACGTGGGTGCAGGGATCCAAGGACTTGGGCCATCTTCTACTGCTGTCCCAGGCCATAGCAGAGAGCTGGATGGGAAGTGGAGCAGCTGGGTCTCGAACCGGAGCCCATATTGGATGCTAGTGCTTTAGGCCAGGGTATTAACCTGCTGTGCCACAGCACTGGCCACAGGATCTAAAATTTAAGAGTTATAGAAAAAAAAATAGTTACAGAAATCTGGGAAGCCTAAAAGAACATGTATCCCACAAGAAAACAGATTCCGTTCTTGAGCTCTCATCTCTATCATCTCCTAGATTTTCCAGATATATAAAGTGTCCCTTTCAATGTAAGACAATAACACTTCATGACTACATGGGACCACATGGTGACAATAATGGTAATGGTTAATAAAAAATGATCTAAATACTCAGGAAATAGGAATTTCTGTGACCAGATCTCCTAAAAAAAAAAAAAAAAAAAAAAAAAAACCTGCAGAAAGGGACCTGGTTTCAGAATTAGTGGGTTCGAATCCTGATAACCATGTAACCTCAGGCAAGTTGCTTAAACTCCATGTGCTTGTTTTCTTATTAGATACTATAAGAATTGGCCTCCAAGGGCTGTTTGGGGGATTAAATGAGATAATACATTTAAAATGCCGAGTCGCCAGTGTGTAGCAAATGTTAGTTCGTATTACTTAACTCATAGTGCATCAGTTACTATGATTACAGCTTTACACACTTGGTCTCCTTTCTGCCTCACAACTCTGTAACATCAAAACAGTTTTACAAATGAAGACATCAAGGGTTGGGAGAGGACAGATGGCAGACCAGGAGCTGTGGGACATCGCCCCCTAGAGGACTTTCCCAAATGCTGACTTCAGCCAAGCCAAAACAGATCAACTGAAACCCAGTCTGGTGGTTTCCTGCCAGGGGACATTGGCGATGGCTGGGGACATTTCTGCTTGTTAGGACTGGGCAGTGCGGTGGTATCTAATGGGTACAGGGCAAGAATGCTGCTAAGGACAGCACCCACCCCCAAAAAGAGTCATGCTGCCCAAATGTCACCAGGGGTTGAGAAATTCTGCCCAAGGCGGCTGGCTCTGGAGAGGGATGAAGGACCAAGCTAGGGAGGTAGAGAATGTGGACTGGTCAGGAGGGAGGGTGGTGTGGGCAGGGCTGGGACTACTTGAAGATGCACCCTGGAGAAAAGGCACCCTGGGAGTGAGCGCAGTGAGGGCAAACATCCCTGAGCCCCCAGAATTGCCATGGGTCTGGAGAAGGGTGGGCATCGTACCCTCCCCAGCTCGTGGTTAAGACTTCTGCTTCCCTAGGTAAATGCCCCCGACTCAGAGAAAACTGCGAATTCCGAGAAAGGGACCTGTGTACGAAGGTCAAACCATGCCCGAGCAACCAGAAGTGCTGTGTCTTCAGCTGTGGGAAAAAATGCATAGACCCTCAACAAGGTAACAGCCAAGCTCCACCTTCTTTTTTTTAAAAGATTTATTTATTTATTTATTTACAAGTCAGAGTTACACAGAGAGAGAAGGAGAGACAGCGAAAGAGAGAGGTCTTCCATCCTCTGGTTCACTCCCCTATTGGCTGCATCAGCCGGAGATGTGCCGATCCAAAGCCAGGAGCCTCCTCCAGGTCTCCCACGTGGGTGCAGGGGCCCAAGGACTGGGGCCATCTTCCACTGCTTTCCCAGGCCATAGCAGAGAGCTGGATTGGAAGTGGAGCAGCCGGGACTTGAACCAGCACCCACATGGGATGTGGGCACTGAAGGCAGCAGCCTTACCCGCTACACCACAGCGCCGGCCCCCAAAGCCTCACCTTCTGTCCCCCTGGGCTGGCATGGTCCCCTGGCTCACTGAGGACCGGTCTTGGCCAAGATTGCTGGACTTGGGAGTTTCGTTTCATCACTGACCCTCACATGCTATGTGTCACGTCATGTCCTTATCCTATCAGCAACGTCTGGGCTCAGTCTACCCAAGCCAATGATGGGTGCAAGAGAGGGATGGAATCAGATTGCTTCTTGCTTGCTTGATTTCTTCCATGGTTAGATTTTCTGAATGCTGCTGCCCATTGCTATCCCAGCATCTACATCTACCAACATTGTTTCTGCAAGTGATGTCATGCAATTTTTTTAGCTTTTTTTTTCTTTTTGCTCCAAACTCACTGCCTTTCTAACTGTGCAGATCTGACTTTGCACCAGGAAGCCTCACTTGGCCCCTATCGGCCAGCGGGGTTTCCTTGTCTGCTACAATCTGCGACCCATCCTCATGTCCTTGGCCGCCCCTCCCCCCAAAAAACCCATCAACGACTCCCCTGGCCATCCATTTAACACAGATTTCCTGAGTGCCTGTGAGACCCACAATAGGGTTGGATCTGCCCACTGCAGTCAGGGAGGTTGGAAAACCTTCTCCGAGGGAACAAGCCTGGAGCCCCTCGAGTGATGGGCCACGTTTTAGGCAAAAAGTAGGTGGACGTTCTCCAGGCACAGGGAGCACCGGGCCCAAAGGTGATGGGGCCGAGGAGGTCAGCCAGGAGACGGGGTGGGTGAGCACTGTGTGGAGGAGCCAACAATCCAGTTCTGGTTGACCCGGTTAAAGACAGATCTTGAGAACCGTGGAAACCCACTGTGGTGGCACCGTGGCATCACTGGGTTAAATTATGCCTGCGGCACGTGAGATGGGAGGATGAAAGCAAATGCGGATCTGGACGAAGGAGCTGGGGGGGGGGGGGGGGGGGGGGAGGAGCGGGGCCGGGTGGGTGCTGGCAGGGATTGGGAGGTGAACAGGGGTGGATGGACCAGCCAGAAGGTGACAGAGCACTCACATGCCTGCCGGTGGGGGATTCTAGACCCAGACTCCTGAGTTCCAGTCTTAACTTTGGAACAACACTTCTGTCGGGAAGGTGAGTAACTTTCCCTCCTGGTGCCTCCGTTTCTCCAGACAATGAAGCCGTCAGTGTTCACGGTTATTTTGCGGGTCAAGCCCATTGACACACATGAAGTTCTTAGAGCAACATGACAGCGTGTGACGGCTCCCTGACACATATCAGCTGCAATCACTTGTCATTCTTGACTGGGAGGTGCTGAATAGCAGAGAATAGGCCTTTTCTTTTCCCTTCAAGTGTTCAGCATATAGTAGGTGCTCCAAGAAGGATTATCAGCTCAGGCCAGTATAGACTTCAGTTTACCCTCAACACTCTGTGTTATGCTGTACTGCATCCGGCCTCCTGTTGGGAACTGGAATATCAAGACGAAATTTGACACAATATCTGCTCACTAAGAACTCACCAGCTCGGGCTCGAGACCCAAGATGAGAACAACTGACCCATGGGCACCCAAGGTTCAGAAGCAAGGTAGAGACATGCAGGACTAACACAGGCTCCTGTGGTGCTCCAGGTGGCAGAAGAGGGCCAGGAGAAACATCACAGAGGAGGCGATACCCAAGAAGGGTTTTGAAGGATGAATAGGAGTGTTCCTAAGGAGTAGCAAGCAGTAGGCAGCAAAGGTGTGGAGCTGGGGGATAGCACAGGGAGTTGACTGTTGCTGGGACATGGTACTCCCAGGAGGCCCGGGGTGGGGTGGGGGGGATGTCAGAGCCACTGGTGAGGAAGGCCTCGTGGGGACTTGGTCAGGAAGTCCGGGACTTCTTCTTTGGGGAGCGAAGAGATCAGCCTGGTTTCAGATCCATCACGTCCTGCTCTTTGGGAGGTAGCAGTAAGCGTCGCTCGCAGGGTGCAGACCACAGGCGGGAGCTCATTCTGGCCTCATCTCAGCTGCCCGGGCTCCGGTGAAAGCAGCCGGAGTCTCCTTGCAAAGTGCGCCGGAGAGGAGCTTAGCTCCCGGGCGCGGTAAGGGAGGACTCTGCTTCGTGTTCACCAATGGCGGCCACCAGGGGGAGACAACAGCAGCTACTGGTTTCTTGGGGAAGGGGGGCACTCTGAGGTCTCAACTCTCTCTGCAGATATATGCAAACTCCCAAAAGACTCCGGCCCCTGCATGGCTTATTTTATTCGGTGGTGGTACAGTAAGGAAAACAACACCTGCTACAGCTTCGTCTATGGAGGCTGCCTGGGGAACAACAACAACTTCCAGACCCAGGCCATCTGCCAGGACGCCTGCCAGAAACCCCGTGAGTCTCGGGGCCAGTGCCGCGCCCTCGGCAGGGCCACGTGGGGAGGGCTGCGCGCTGGCTCACCTGCTTTGTCCTTGGCAAACCTGGGCTGCGGGCGGGAGGTAATAAAGCGCCTTTCCAAGGGGTAGACGGGGTGGCTTTCTGGTGAGTGAGGGCGGGCAGGAACGTGAAGGTGGAGCAAAGCTGGCCAGGGGCAGTGGCGGGGGGCGGGGTCGAGGCGGCGGAATCTCAGAGAACACCTGCAGAAGGGGCTCAGCCGACCCTGGGCGCACTGACCCACCAATGGGTCCCGGCCATCCGTGCCCTCGTCACAGCCCTTTGCCAGCGATCCCCTCCCATTCTCTTGAAGAGAGACCCGTAGCTCCCCGGAGCAAACCCGCTTTTAGTCTCCTCCCGGGAGAGCATGCGTGAATGTACCTCCCAGCTGTGAAGAGAGGCTGGTAAGAGAAACACGCTCGGCGGTATCTTGACCACAGCGTTGTCCACAGGCTCCTAACTCCTGCGCGGACGCGGATACGTGAGAGCAGCCACCAGGATCTGACCCAGGCACCCGGCTCTGCTATGAAACTGACCGATGCGACAGGTTGACTTCCGGGGCTCCACTCTCCGCGACCCAAGGCCTTCGCTCTTCCCAAAACCAAACCCCGGGCTCCTCCTCCCTCTCTGCCATAGCTGCCGCTTTTCACGCACAACCCTTCCAGTCGGATTCCATGCGCTTCACCCCCTTATCTCCTGAGCTCCCCCACTGTCTCTCTGTATAGCCCAATTTCTCCCAATAAAGTTCTTGCTTAGTCCTACGCCCCGGGGGCTGAGTGATTCACGTCTGGTTGGCCTGAATTACACTTCGTGGAGAGTAAAGTGTCATTGAGGCCTCTGGTGACACCATTCAGGGGAGGAAGGACAAAGCTGGAGAGGGGCGTGCTCCAGGGATGGTAGCTTCCGCCTTTGTCTCTGCAAAAATGTGCAAGACCTTTTAAGGCAAGGCCATAGCCTCAGTGGAGTCCTCCCTCCCCCCCGACACACACACAGAAGCTGGCCCAGGGACAAGGGCCTGGGAACAGGCAGTTTTTGGGAGATGTCCCAGGAAGCCCGAGGTAGGGAGGGAGCGCACGAGTCAGGAAAGAGAGGAATCCTTATGAGTGGTTACCACCATGGGAGATGGCAGCTCCGTCCCACTGGGGGCCTTCTAAGGAAGGAATGACATGCATCCAAACTTTCTTCAGTGATGCGAAAGCCGAGGTCTTCATCCGCTGATTCCCGTGCCCCATGGGATACCTGTCTCTTCCAGGCTGATCTGCATGCGGTGAGTGCACTCTCAGAGAGCCCAGGGGAACCCACCTACCGAGGTCAGCACCACCTTCTACCCTAGGGACCAGACTAAAACATGGCGCTAAGGAGTGAAGTGAGGAGAACAGACGGGAAAGAAAGGGCACGTAGAAACAGGCCCAGAAACTCACTAGAAAAAAAAAAATACAAGCACAGGGTGACCGACATGCAAGACCCTGGACTGGAGCATCCTCTTCTGCTGAGTCTGCGAAGCCCCAGACAAGACGGGCCCTTCCCCCTGGTAGACCAGGGAGCCAGAGAGCCTCAGATTGGAGCTTTAGGAGCTGCCTACCAATGGTGGGGGGGTGCTGCAGGTGCCACCGATGGGCCTCAGGGCCTGGGTGTTCCCCACAGAGCGAGTGTGGCTGGCTGGTCTCCAGGGCTGTGTTCTGGAGTGTTGGGTTGCATCAGGGCATCCGACGCTCAGAGGCTGGAGCTACTGAGTGACGATTCCTAGTTTCGGGGACACCAGCAAGGCTGGCACCTCCTAAAATGCGACTTTCCCGACTTCTGCCAATCCTGCTACCACTCATCCTCCTGGGAGGCATCCAGGAGGCTGGACTGGCTGAGGGATTCTTTATCAGTGAGTAGCAGGGACTCGGCCCTTGCGATGGAGAAGGGGGACTTGAAGGGGAGGAAGGGACGAAGAACAATTTCAGCAGTGCTTCCCCCAACACGGCCAGGAAAGAGGGGAGGCATTTAGTCATTCTTTCAGCCTCCCCCCTCCTCTAAGACGCACTTGGCAAATGCAGGCGCCTTCGTCTGGACCACCACCAGCCCAAGGAGTTCTTCCTGGAGCTGCCTAGGCTCAGTGATCATGAAAGGGACTCTGTGGGAACTGGGGAGCCTAGGGGACTTGCCCCGAAGGAGGACGGTTCGCCCGCCCCCGCACCACCCTTGTTCATTCCGACCCTTCCTGTTGAAGCCCACACAGGTTTCCCCCAGCTGCTCCCGCTCCCAGAGGGTCCTCGCCTTTGGGGGCAGAGTGGTCCCCAGAAGTCTCTGGGGTGCTGACCTACAAAGAGCCCAGGACGAGGAGCCCAAATACGCTGGGCACTCTGATGGCAATGTTGAAAGTGGGTCTCAGGAGCTGGGAGCCGCACACTTCAGAGCCAAACCTGGCTCCCTCCTCAGCAGCCTGTCAGTGCCTATAGAAAAGGAGTGAAGCAGCAGTCAGGTCCTAGGAGAGCTGTGAGAGACAGGCACAGGACCCTGGGCAAAGGCACGTGGCCGCCCTCTGTTCGGGTTCAGAGTCCTTTGCTTGCAATTGTGGCAAGCAATGGGACTCATCCATAGCGTTACACTGAGGACTGAGGATAAATGGCCCAGTGTATAGCAAGTGCTTCATCAATGCTAGTCATTATTTTGTCCCAACAACTTGACAGTGACTTTCAAACTTTGCTGCTTAGAGTTAAAAGCAGCCTTATGTGCAAATGAAGAAAACCAAGTTCAGAGAGGGCACCTGCTGTACCAAGGGTTGCACAGAATTTAAAAACTCAGCTATCTGCCACCAGGGATGGAGATCTTAATCACAGAGAGTTACAGCGCCTCCCAGGGGAACACCCAAGCACAGCAAGGCCGTGAGACCTTGCTTCTCCCTGGAATCTTGGTGGTGGTGGTGGTGGTGTTGGAGGGTGGTGGTTAGGAATGAGAAGGGGATGAGTGGGAGGTGAAAGTAAGCCCCTCTGACTCCACTGCGGGGCCCTGGTCCAGGAGGGAGAGCACTAACACTCGAAGCCTCAAGGGAGTGTGTCTTCCCCTTCCTTAGAGACGTGTCCCAAAATCAGAGTGAAATGTGAAGTGGAAGAAAGGAGCGAATGCACGAGGCACAGGCATTGCCCGGACAAGATGAAGTGCTGCTTGTTCAACTGCGGGAAGAAATGCTTAGACCTCAGGAAAGGTACCACAGGTCCCCTGAGCTGTGCGATGGCCTCACCTCCTACCCCAACCTGCGCCGGTCCCCTCCCCTTGCTCTCTGCCCTAGAGTCTTCCTGCATTTTCCACCTGACACAAATCCAATCCGTGCTGGGCTTTGAGAGATGCAGCTTTTATTTGACTACTGACTTCTGTCCTTATGTGATACGTGTGTGATATAGTTTGCTTTTTCTGAGCCATTGTCTCTTTTTCTATGACATAGATGTGAAACCCATGGCTCTGAGACCCCAAGTAGCCACCGAAGTTCCATGAAATGTCAACGTCACGTCGGGTCCTAGGAGAGCTGTGAGAGACAGGCACAGGCTCTGTACTTCCTGCCTTGTTCCCCTAGGTCTCTGTATAAATGCAGGATCCTTTCCCGGATCACCTGCCACCTGCCACGCTCTTCCCCACTCTGTCCGTATCACTGGGCTCTAATTAAGACCATCAAGGACTACACATACGGCAAACTTTATGGTGCCCCTAACATGCATGGGAGCTTCCACTTACTGACCGTGTCCCAGGATGTCAGAGAAGGTGTTACAGGATAAGGGACCCGTGACCCAGCACGTGAAAGATGGGGATGGCCCAGGCAAAAGTGGCAGCGAATGGCTTTCCAGGCACAGGTTGACCTTGTGTGGCAAGGGTCCTGTGGGAGGAGGCAGCAGGCTCAGGCCTAAAGAGGCCAGGGAGCAGAGATGAGAGAGCCGGAGCTGGAGTAGTTCATGTGTGTGTGTGTGTGTGTGTGTGTGTGTGTTAAGGAGTCTGCCCTGAACCCTCAGAGCAATGGGTCATCTGTGTTCAGATCCCTTAGTATCTATGCGACCTCAGGAAACTGACTTTGCCTTCCAAGCCTCGGTTTCTTCCCGTGACTTGTGAGAACAGTAAGAGGACCTGGCACACGTGGTGACGTGTTAACCTGCATCGCGCACTAAGAACAGGGCCTGGCACCCTGAGAAATGCACTCGGGGTTGCTTTGTTGGGCTGCAGATGAGCAGGTTCTGAAGAACCTCGCTGGCCCCTCATAGCGCGGCGAGCCAAACTTTGCTTAGTAAATGCTTCCTTAGGTTCAGGGTGCATTCGGCTTTTCTTTAAAACTGTGAACAGTCCTGAAGCACCCTCCCTGTGCCAAGTTCCCTGCCAGGAACTGCTGTACCAAGACGCCCTAAGACACAATGTCCGCCCTCAAATCCCCACGTTCCCCTGGAGGGTCCAAAACTTAGAACAAATAATTATACAGAAGCGATCAATGCGTGTGCAAGATCAAGAAGCAAGAAAGAACAGCAAAGGGTTAAAGAGTGGATCCGGGAAAGACATCCCGGGAGAGCTGGATTCTGGGAGGGCTCTGCGGAGTGAACAGGCCTGCACCTGCTTAGCAAGCCAAGGGGGAGCGTTCCAGGCACGAGGAAAGGCACGGAAGCAATACATGGCATTGTTAGAGCGTGCGGCAGGAGACCAGGAGCAGGACGTGGATTCTAAAGTCCTTCTGGGTTCTGGTAGGATTTCCCCATGAGCTCAGTGGATCATCCTGGAACCAGCGTGGAACAGACTGGAGAAGTGTGGGAGCTCAGTCAGTAGCCTCCCATGGCAGTCCTGGCTAAAGATAAAGATACTGGAATCCTGGGAGTGGCAGGGAGGACATGAAGGAGCGCTATCTAAGAGGCAGGAGTTAGCTGTCCAGACTCGGGGTGGGGGACGCAGTTAGAGAGGGCATTGCTGTCCCATCTGGAGTGAGCAGGGTGCAGTGTTTCACTCTTACCGTATAGGTAAGGAGAGTCAAGGAGCACAGGGTCAGAGTGGTCACAGACACCATTGCACTGGGAGCAGAGCCCCCGGTCCAGGGTGCCTGTCAGTGGAGTCCAAAAGAGCAGGGGCCAGAAGAAGGGGAGGTGACAGGCACCCAACCAGGGCTGCCCTGTGGCCTCCCCACAGACGTGTGCAGTATGCCAAAGGAAACCGGCCCCTGCCTGGCCTTCATCCCCCGCTGGTGGTATGATAAAGAAAGAGAAATCTGCACCGAATTCATCTACGGCGGCTGCAACGGGAACAATAACAACTTCCAGACGGAAGCCATCTGCCTGGTCATCTGTCAGGACCGGGGTGAGTGCGAGGGGCCGCGGTCCCCCGAGCCCACAGCGACCACACAGAGACAGGCGTCTTGGTGTTGGCTTGTCTCTTCCAAACCTTGCTGGGACTGGGGCTGACAAGACCAGCTCCGATGAGGGGGTGAGAGTGCAGCTTGCAGAGGTGTAACTGGGGGAAGAAGGGGTGAGAAGCCAGACAAAGGGAAATTGCAAAGAAGGGGTGAGCAGGGGCTGCAGGGAGGAGATGGATGTGATGAACAGCCCCAGGTGCCGTGGGAAGGAGGCCATGCGGTCCCAGCCCCCCCGGGACTAGGCACCGCCCACCAGCCGTCCATCACAGGCCCTTCCCTCTCCCCGAACCTGTCACCACTCCGCTTCACTTTTAAAGGGCAACCACAGTACTTTATCGGCCAAATCAAGACATTTTGAGAGTGAAGGGGGGGGGGTGCCATTAATTGCTGTACTGTGACAACAGCACAACCCGCAGCTCCACTGGACAGAGCAGGACTCGCGATCGCGCCGTGAGCCCCTCACTCCCCTCGCCTCTGTTTTTTTCTTCCTTCAAAAGGACACAAAAGCAATCTCACCGTTTCCCCATTAACTGCAAGACTTTGTTCCTAAGGTGACCGGGGCCGTGCGTCTCATGCTTTGTCCTGCTGTCTCGTAGAGTCATCTCACTGGATAGGATAAGGAGGAGCTGCAGCAGCCCCGGGACGCGGCTCACGACCAGGGCTTTCTCCGAGTGTGTCTGACGGATGCCCACGCAGGCTTCCACTGGCCAAATTCCAGCCCCCAAGCCCTTGGCTACTCCAAAACGGAGCTCCAGGATCTGCTTGCACCCCTTCCTCCAGCCCAGCCCGTGTTCCCTTCAAACACAACGCCCTTCACCCCTTCCCTGTGAAGTCTCTCCCTCCACCTCTCGGGGCTCTCACTGACTCCTCTCCAGACGCCAGTTCTCTGTAATAAAGCGCTCCGTGAGTCTGATGCCCAACTGAGAGACGCCCGTCTGTGATAGGAGAGAGCCACGTGCACTCACTCCCCATTTGTAGCTTTCAGAGGACAAGAAGCGGCAGAGAGAGAGGGAGAATGAGACTATGACAGTCCTGAACATGGACACCCTGGGGACGCTGTCACTCTGTGACATTGTCACAAGATGCTTAGAACGAAGTCAGAGCATACGCAGGTCCTGTGTGATCCAGTAAGTCAGAGGCTGATAAATTAAGGGCTCCTTTAAAAAGTGAATATCAGTAAAACACAAAAGAGAATATTATCTCCAATGAGAAACCACATTACAACCAATGGCAGATTCTAGAAAACTAACAAATAGCACAAACTGCACTACGTTGCCCAGCGCAGTGGAGGGACAATGGTTCACAGGACACACTACACATTTTATGAAGAGCCAGAGAGGAGCTTGAAGGCTTAAATATAAAGAAACACTATGAGGCCGGCGCTGTGGCATAGCGGGTAAAGATGCTGCCTGTGGTGCCAGTATCCCGTATGGGCACCGGTTCGAGACCTGGCTGCTCTACTTCTGATCCAGCTCTCTGCTGTGGCCCAGGATAGCAGTGGAGGATGGCCCGGGTCCTTGGGCCCCTGCACCCACATGGGAGACCCAGAGGAAGCTCTTGGCTCCTGGCTTTGGATTGGTGCAGCTTCAGCTATTGCGGCTAATTGGGGAGTGAACCAACAGATGGAAGACCTCTCTCTCTGCCTCTCCTTCTCTCTCTGTGACTCTGACTTTCAAATAGATAACTAAATCTTAAAAAAAAAAAAAAAAGAAAGAAAGAAAGATACAATAAGAAAATGCAAATACTGGTTACCTTGATTTGTTCAGTATATGTTACATATATGTGTTGAAATATCATACTGTGCCCGGTAAATATTCATAGCTATTGTATGTTAATAAAAATAAAAAAATTATTAATTGAGGGCAAGCATTGGTACAGCGATTAAAGCCCCGCTTGCTACGTACCTGTCCAATATTGGAGTCCCTGGATTTGAGTCCCAGCTCTGCTTCTGGTCCCGTTTCCTGCTAACGCGCACCCTAAGAGACAGCAGATGATAGCTCAAGTGCTTGGGTCCCTGTCTCCCACAGAGAGACATGGATTGAGTTCCCAACTCCTGGCTTCAGGTTGGCCCAACTCTGGCTATTGAGGGCAAGCTCTACGGCTGCTTTGACCAAGAGAATGGAGCAAGACCCGTCCTCTGTGACTTCTGGCGTGAGACTGTAAGAAGCAAAGCTCCCACTTGGTCCTCTTGTTCGGGGGTCAGGGAGCAGACACCATGTTAGGGTCTAAGCATCCTAAGACAGCCGTGCTGGAGGGACAATGTGAGTTCTCTGATCAACACCCCAGAGACGCTCTGCCAGAGCCAGCTTCAACTTCCAGCCATACTGAGTGAGCTGTGGTCCACAGATACTCAGAAAACCAGAGCCCCCAGCAGACCCTGACTGCAGCCTGTGAAAGACACGGTGCGACAACCACCAAGCTGATTCCTTTCTGAATTCCTGACCCACAAACTCTTGAGCAAAGAATGATGGTTGCAGTAAACTGCCAGGTGTGGAGGAGATGCGTTCACAGTGATGGGCAACCCAAGACGGGAAGGCAGCCGAAGGAAGGGGTGAGGGAAGCAGGGGAGGGGGGAGGCGTGGCGCAGGCCATGGGGCAGGTGAATGGATGCCCGAGAGATGTGGAGGACACCAGGGTTGTGAAGGGAGGCCGGTGAGTGTAGCACACCCACATTGAACACGTCAGTTCACAGTGGAGTAGGACCCAAGTCGGAGGCTGAGAGACTGGGGTCCACTTGCTCTTACCATCCTTCGATTTCTCTCTCTTTAGAAAAGCCTTGCTTAAACTGATCACTGTTTATAAGGCTCTTGGCAACTACCTGTTATCCTAGTGTCTCCTGGGGAGAGGGAATGTGTTTAAAAGTTGGGTTCTCCAGATCTAGTAAACTGCAAGCTACGGATCCAGACCCGTAGCCAACAAGGCATCCACATGTCTGCATCCTGTGGGAAGAGCACCCATCTAGGCATAGAGACCCAAATCTGCCTCTGGATTTTAGCCCTTGGGAAGCGCGCCCTGGCTGGGACAGGCTAGGATGGAGGGAGGCTCCTCGCAGGGTCTGTTTGCCACACGCAAGCTGCAGGTGACAGACTCATGACCTCGAAGAGCTCTCCCAACCCTGAGAATGTCAGGCAGCTCAGGAACCTGCGCAATCTAATGGGCATCTGGTGCTTGCTCGTCTCGTGGGTGTCTCTCAACTCTTGACTGGGTTTGACATACTCCAGCGACTGGAACAGAATCATTTTGTCCTGAGGGCCCCTGGGACAAGCAGGCTCTTGGAAATGGACACCATGTACCCTGCAGTTGACAGCATCTGCTCACCTGTTCTGCTCAGGAATGAACTCAGAGACCTTGGGGCTCAACACAAGGATTCTTTGCCTTGAGGGACCTCCCTGGATCTGGAGGGTGCTGGGTCTCTTTATCGCTGACTCTTTCCTTCTTACTCAGCCCATTAGATTTCTTCTCAGTGCTGCCCTGGAGGGCTTGGATGGTTTGGGAACTCAGGGAATGTCTGAGCTGAGGGACCTGGAGAAGTGCCCCAGCCCCAACCCCTCTCCTTTCGAAATACTACGTGCACACATAGGGAAGCTCTCAACAGGAATTAGACTTGTTCAAGACCTCCCAGCAAGCTAGTAGCAAACACGGAGCTAAACTCCAGGTCTGAAGAGTGACAAGGGGCCATTGGAAAAGAGCAAAGACAAGGTCTTCCCCACGTACTCACCTGTGGCCCTTCCTTGCCTCTCATACCCACACCCAGTGACATTCATAAGATAGAGTGGTGGCGGCCATGGGAACTGGGGGGAAGTGTCCTGTGCAGAAAGATAGGAGACCCCAGTGGGACTCACTGTGGACCACACACCTCTCAGGAAGACCTGGAGCTCCAAGCTCTTGCCTGCATCTGCCCTCGGTCAGGCCAGCTACAGAAAAGGAGCGCCAAGCCCATGCCCATGCAACTCACTGGGACCTGGACTTTGTGTTTGGAGGGAAGTTTCCATTCTCATTCCATGAGATGTACATTTCAAAGTCAGGTGCTGCTGTACGAGCTGTTCTAATATACGACTCAGAGACAGGATACAGTGTCAGTAGATTTGGGAAGATGGACATCCACTTCAGTACATGTAAAATCTATTGTCTAGGGTTGACATACCAAGGGTGCTTTCTTAAAGACTGATCTATTTATTTGAAAGAGTGACAGGAAGAGGGAGAAAAGGAGTGAGGGAGGGAGAGAGGGAGAAAGAGAGAGAGAGAGACTTCCATCCGCTGATTCACTCAGGGCCAGGCCAAAGCCAGGAGCCTGGAACTTCATCTAGGTCTCCCATGTGGATGGCAGAGATCCAGGCACTTGGGTCATCTGCTGCTACTTTCCCAGGTGCATTAGCAGGGAGCTGGATCAGAAATGGAGCAGCCGAGACTTGAACCAACACTCTGCTCTGGGATGCTGGTGCCGCAGGCAGCTTACTCTGCTGGACCACAATGCTGTAGCCCACCAAGGCCAAATCTTGTAAGGCGGAGGCTCACCAACATTAATATAACAAGAACTCAGGGAGCCTAGAGTCTTCAAGGAACTGAAATAAATACAAATAAAGTCCCCAGGGTAATTCTGATGCATTGTAAGTTTGGGAATGGTTGATCTAATTCTCTTCTGATTTGCTATCACATTCCTATGAAACGCTATCAAAAGTAGATCACATAATTTCTTCTTCATCTTATTTATATTCTTGCACATTCCTGCCTCCTTCTGCTATTAAATTTTTTCTCTCTAAAGACCTAGCCTTCTGTGGCTGGCCTTTGGCACGGAGGTGAAGACCCCACCCGGGACACCTGTATCCCATATCAGAGTGCTAGGGTTCAAGGCCCAGTCAGCATCCTGTTATTGTGCGTCCTGGAAGGCAGCAGATGGTAGCTCATACACTCGGGTCTCTGTCACTTAATGTGGAAGACATGGATTGAGTTCCAGGCTACAGAGCTCAGCCTGCCCAACCCCAAGTGTTTCGGACATTCAAGGAGTGAAACACCAGACGTGAGATTTCTCTCTGTCTCTGTTAGTCTCTCTACCTTTCATATAAAATGAAAATAAATAAAAGTTGTAAAGACTTTAAAGATCTATCCTTCTTAATTTGCGATTCCTCTTAAATATTTTCAGTAGCAAGTACGTGACACACGATTCAACACATTTTTCCTTTGGCACAAATTTCTCCCCATGTTGCTAGTGATTTCCTCCCTCTACCCTTTCAGCAAGCAAAATGGCACAAATCTTGTGTTCTTTCAAATGTAGTGATAATGTAAAAGAAGGAAATGGATATGTCAGAAGATGTTTAGCTCCAATGTACTGTATTTTTCAAATCTAAACAGTCTCCCCCAGGACTGGCACTGTGGCACAGGGTCAAGCCACAGCTTACAACACCAGTATCCCATATCGGAGGGACAGTTTGAGTCCCAGCTGCTCCACTTCTGATCTGGCTTCCTGCTAATACACACAGGAGAGCAGCAGAAAATGGCCCAGCCACTTGGGACCCTGTCATCCATGGGGGAGACCTGGATGAAGCTCTGGGCTGCTGACTTCAGCCTGGCCCAGCCCTGGCTATTGCAGCCATTGGGGGATAAAATAATCTCTCTCTCTCTCTCTCTCTCTCTCTCTCTCTTCTCCTTCCCTCCTCCCTCCCTTTCAAATAAATAAAATATTTTTTTAAAAAAAGAAAGCGGGCAAAAGGCAGAGATGGATATTTTGCCTAAAAAATATACAGATAAAAAATAAAAACATGAGAATATCAACAGGACAGGGAGTTAATTAAATTCACTTAATCAGATGTGTGATGCATTTGTGCTGTGTATGGAATACATACTATACACCAGGCTCTGTCCCGGGTGCTGGAGTTAAAGCAAGAATCAAAGACACACCTTTGTTGAACTCATGTTC